AGAACACGCGTAACTGCAATAAAGGTTAGATGATGAATATCACAGGCCAAACCCACATAAAAGCGTTGGGGTTGGGACATAAATGACTAAAACCCATTGAAGTACTATATTATTCTAAACCCAGTAAAACACAACACAGATTTTTTTTTTTATAGACATATTTTGTTCAACCACGTGGTTTTTAACACTTTTTAATTTCACACATAACAATCCTGAAAAAAGGCCTTTTGGGTGTTGAAAAAAAGTCACAAAAAAAATCAAGAAACCAAAAATTCTGTAATGATTTTGGCACAATGAAACCTGTTCCTGTACCCTTTCCAAGGTTAAATCCGACCACATTACATGTTATCTTGGTAAGTCTCTGAGTGATGGCTGCCGTCATTAACTTAAGATAATAGATGGATCACACAGTCCTGGTCAGGAACCACAACTCTGGCTGCCCTTCAGGAGTACCTTTGGGATTTCACATCATTTAAACGTTCGTTTTCGTGCTTCATTCTTGTACTGATTTCGGATCATCCTTATCGTTGCTGACTCCGCAGCAGTGGCTGGCTTTTTGCTTCACCCTCTGATAGAAACTCCACATTGTCTGTCTCACCACTTGCTGTTCCTCATTCCAATACCGATCAACCAAATCAGTACAAGGAAAGAGGGAATAAGGCTTCTGAACAGAGAACAAAAGCCCTGTTAATGAGAAGCTAAATCTCTTATGTGTCTTGTATGCGATGTTACAGTTACGGTGTATGCACTGTAACTGTCAAGGTCACCTCCCATTAACTTGAGGAAAATCTTTTTCCCTCGAACAATTAAACAATCAGCGGAAGCACCGACTGATCAGAATTTGGCTCATGCTCTTCTGTCTTCAGCCCTTTATGCCAGCTGTAGGAGCAGCGTTTGGCTTAGTCTTGTCCTTGGTGCCTGAAAGCAGAGGCTAACGCAGTGGTTGTCATGGTGACAGAGAGCCAGGCAGGGCTCTGGTAATACTGTAATGATGAAGCTCTTCTGGATGGTGCCGCAGTAAACACAGCGCCACTAGGGTCCCGTTAAGGAAGAGCGGGGCGCACCGTCGCGCATGCAAAAAAAAACGACTGCAGGGCTAATATCAGCCCAAACCATTTCTCACTGATTATTTTGCTTACATTCCTGCTCGGCCGGTGCCTCCTCCTGTCTTCTCTGTCTCTTTATGGCCGTCTCACTGCCTGATGCCCAGCTGCTCCGCCTCTTGTTTTGAGGGAGATTCACATCGTGCTGTTCTCTCCTCTGCTCATCTTTTCATCTTCTGTCTCCATTCCTTTACTCTCAGCTCTTCATTAATCTGTTCTCACACAGTGAGCTCCTATTATATCAGCTACCTTCTTGTTTCAATCACTTCTCTACTCTTCATTCATCATTTCTGCCTTTTTGCGCTTTTAAAATGATGCTTATCATATTTTTAAACTCATTTCAGAGTATCTAATGAGGGGTGGGGGGCTCCATTGCACCTTGAAGGTCACTGGGCTGCAGGTGTCACACGTTAGCTCTTCTGAAGGGAACTGGGCACGTTATATGCTTCCCATCGCTGTTACAGTGGGCTTCTGTGTTGAATATTCAGAGCATTAACCTGGCTGTTCAGTCACAGATACCTTCATGTTGCACTGAGGAGACGGATGGAGGAGGAGAACAGAGACAAAGTGCTGGAGGAGATAAATAAGTGTAAAGTGACAGATTGCTACTCCTCTTTTTATCATTTTCCCGCACCTCTTTCTTTCTCTCCGTCTTCTTCGCTCATTCCTCTCCATCACTTCAATGCAGGGCTCATCCTGCTACCACTTGCTATCTGTGATCGGCACACGCAGCTCCTGTGCCCATAGGCTGTCTGTCTCTCCCTCTCATCGGGAGCAATGTTCACACCTAGACACACAGATGTGCACATGTGCATTACATGCAGATTTTTGAGGAATCGCGTTAAATACTTTTTAGTCTCATACTCAGACAGTGGGTCGTCTCCCAGACAGAATTCCCATGCTACTTTATATCATGAATAAAAAGATGGACTGCTGCGGAGGTGATACTGATATGGGGTCCAGTCAAAAAAACTAAACTACTCTCGTCTCCTGTGTCAAAAAATAGTTAGACCCAATCACAGAAACATAAACTTTGTCTTCAACTTCATGAACTATATCTAAAGATCCTCTGCAGTAGGAGGATCTTTCACATAGACTTTCTTTTTTAGTATGTTTTTAAATAAAAAAGTACGACTCAAGGCCGTGTGCTGAGCAGCCACAGATCAGAAGATGCTTTCCAAGAGCATTCCAATCATTTTATTCATCATTCTTTTTAAAAATCTACATTTTACCTAAAAACAGAGCCCCTATCTAGACCCATTTCTAATTCATTCACAAATACGTTTAAATATAAATAGTGTTTTTCATTTTATTCATTTGATGAGATTAACCATTGTTATCTTGTTTACTTAGCACAAAAGACAGAGGCCTCTCATTTATGCAGATGTAGATCGAGAACACTGTATTTAGGTAGTACATCTTCAAAAAAAGGCTAGACAGGACTAAACATTGCTAGTGGGGTTAAACACAGAGGTCAGCTACTTTACATAAATGGACACAAGACTGGGGCTCACCTAGTTTACCTCGGAGTTAGATTAATTCATTCAAACAACTTTTACTGGAACCTTCAGCCTTCAGATGAAGGGCTTTATCTGGACTAACGTGCTGGAAAAAGACACAGAATTCTTTGTCCCTCTGGTTGACAGATGTTCCTCTGTGACTTCGGCCTGTCATTTGCTATTAACCTTCTGTCTGCTGATGCGTCCGCTTCTTTTTCCTCTCCCGCTCGTTATCATTCTTGTCATACTTTCTGTTCTCTTATCAAAACAGTCACATCACATCCAGATCATCAAAATGAGGAGCTACCATAACCAAGTTTTGGAGAAAACAACTCTTTTCTCAGCATTTTTGGTCAATTGGTCTTCTCACTTCTGTTACATTTGATTCTTTCTTCCAGACTGCCCTGACTTTTTCTTTTGTGATATTTTAAACATTTTCTGGTCTCCCTCCCACGTGGCCACCCCCTGCTCGTCCTCCACCTGTGTAACCTACATAGAACATACAATAGTTTTGCCCCCCTTTTCTGTTTAAGTTCTATAAATATCTCCTCACCCTTCGCACTCGTTACACTACCTCCAAATTTAAGGCCTGAAGAAGAGTCACCGGCAATACTAACTTAAAGAATTAGGAGCATAATGCTGAGATCACCATTGCCTCATTACCCTGATTTGCGCACTGAGAGCCTTAAGCCAGCGAGCATCCCGAGTCGGTGTCGCTGGTGCTATCCTGCTTCCCTCGGACACAGGGGGGCTGGTATGGGGGCACAGGTAGGAGGGTGATTGAGAACCTCTGTGTGCGTGTTGTCATGATACAGAGGAGGAGAGCACTGCAGCAATCCAAAAAAGTAGGTCAGACACAGTATGAAACATAGCTGAGAAGAGGTAGAGAATAAAGATAGAGAGGAAAAGGATGGGGAAGAAGAAGAGAGGAGAAAAAATACCAGAGGATACAAAGAGATAGAGGGTGGATGGTTTTTCGAATGGTAGAATATTCTGCTAATACCTCTCCAAACTTGATCGAAGCCACCAATCCCTCAAACTGCCTCCGCCACTTTTAAGGGGCTTTCTTCGAACCAAACTAAACTTACCTAGAAGTTATCACTACAAATGAACCGTGAGTCTAAAAATACACACTGGATATCCAGACTTTCCAGGATTGTCAGTTACGTTTTTGAACATGTTTTTGTCAGCTCCCCTCCTCAAAAATTTTTGAATCTTCCAGTCAATGTTGTAAAGGAAAGGTACTTTGAGACACTTTATGTGTAGGCTCACATCCACTTTCAAATAGAAAGAAAAGGTATAGAGCAAAAACAACTGTGACTGAAAATAAGGGGAACTTTGTAGGCTTCATTTGTCGTATGTATGTTGCTCATATTGTTACATAATGTTGAAATGACATGCCTCAACACACAAAATACACTCAGGCTTAAAATGTATATGGCTTCCACTCAAGTATGCATTACCTTTCTCCTTTGGTCCTCAGGCCACGTCTGTGTTTTATTATTTATTTGATAAAGCATAAAGTATTCTGCATCTGTGAAGACTGCAGGGTTTGCAGGAATGGGAAGAGGAAAAGACTGTGCACTAGCTTCTAATAAACACTGGTGTTGTCACTAACTGTAAATGATTCACTCTCAAGTAAATGGTCGACAGTAGAATGATAAGACTGGGTCCATATGGAGTTTGAAGATCGCAGATAAGATGATGGAAAAAAAACTGAGAGTCATGAGTGTATAAACAAACCAGGGGATCACATTTTGGAAGTGAACATGCAATATATCTCTATGGATGTGAACATGTAGTGGATTCTAGTTAGAATATAGTGTAAAAAGATACTTTCTATATATCATATTTTGTGTGTTTTTATTATTCACTGAAAAATATTTATGCTTTTAGAAATGTTGTTATTTGTAAATGTGTTTATTCTGGTGCATTTACATACAGATTTCTTAGTGAAAATGATACATACATATGTTTCCACTTAGTTATTTGTATGTCTTCACTTATTTTGTGGCATATGTAGCCCTGTGACTATTCCTCTTTTTTCTTGTTATCATGTTCGCTTTGTGCAAAATTCAGATAGGATAAATTAATCTGAAAAATGGTTTGTTTTCTTGGAAATTATTATATCCATTTTCAATGACAGGATTTTACATAAAGATTTTGACAGATTTCTGAAAAAAAGCCGTCTTTTTTGTAGTTTGAACTCACATTTTGTGTTTGTGTTCATTTGTTCGTGGTCCTTTTTGACAGACGAAGTTCTTCCACACACTGATTGCTTTATTTTACTGTTGGGCTGTTGTTTTGGAGTTCTATTAATTTGCAACTGACTCATTCTTCTCCCTTGCTGTTTTTCTTTTTCTGTTTTTCTCCTTTCTTTTCCTGTCCGTCCTTCTAGTATGTAGCATTTATGTCCCTTTTCTTCATCCTCATCTCCATCTCCACTTTCTGCATGGAAACGCACGAGGCCTTCAACACCATCATAAACAAGACAGAGAACGTCACCATTGGAAACTTCACTCGTGAAGAGATTTCATACGAAGTGGTGACCGACAGCTGGTTGACATACGTGGAGGGTGTGTGCGTCATTTGGTTCACCATTGAGGTCTTGCTGCGAGTCACCTTCTGCCCAGACAAGTTGGAATTCTTCAAAAGTGCCCTCAACATCATCGACTTTGTTGCCATCCTGCCCTTCTATCTGGAGGTTGGTCTGAGTGGTCTGTCCTCCAAAGCTGCCAAGGATGTCCTGGGGTTCCTCCGTGTTGTCCGGTTTGTCCGGATTCTCCGAATCTTCAAGTTGACCCGCCATTTTGTGGGTCTCCGTGTCCTTGGCCACACTCTTCGTGCCAGCACCAATGAATTCCTCCTGCTCATCATCTTCTTGGCCCTGGGTGTCCTCATCTTTGCCACCATGATCTATTATGCTGAGAGGATCGGTGCAGATCCAGATGACCCAACTGCCAGTGCCCACACCAACTTCAAGAACATTCCAATCGGGTTTTGGTGGGCTGTTGTGACCATGACCACACTGGGTTATGGCGATATGTACCCGGAGACGTGGTCAGGAATGCTGGTGGGTGCGCTGTGTGCCTTGGCTGGTGTACTTACCATTGCCATGCCTGTACCCGTCATTGTCAACAACTTTGGCATGTACTACTCCCTGGCTATGGCGAAGCAAAAGCTGCCCAAAAAGAAGAACAAACATATCCCTCGAGCACCACAACCTGGTTCCCCCAACTACTGCAAGCCCGACGCCTTGGCTATGGCTACCGCATCACCGCAAAGGCTCTTGGGGAATGTCTTAGGAGGAGTGATGGGATCCGGAGGCATTAGAGGGGATTGCCCTCTTGCCCAAGAGGAAATCATAGAGATCAACAGAGGTGAGAGGTTTTGTTTTTTAACAAACACGTTTAAAATGAAAACATCAATGTGATGGGAATTACTCAATTTTAGCATCCACACTGAATTCAGAGATCTGGTGAAGAGCTATGAGTACCAAATTGTCAAAAGGAAGAAGTAGGAGTAATATCAAGAAATGATGCATGGTTGATATTCACTCCTCCCCCGAGAATTCACAAGCCCATCAGAAGTCATGTGTAATTTACTATAAACTGGTAGGTTGACAGTTGCCTTTAGGCATCCATCTGTCTGTGAAGTAGAAACACCATGGAAGGCAAATGGACTCAATTATCTATTAAAACAGCTTAATGCATCTGAATTTTGGCTGACATCACAGATCTTTTACCTAGCATTAGCAGTAAAAAGCAGTTACATGTTACATTAAAGCACCTTTAATACATTACTTAACAGACTCAGTTTTGAGTGAGCCACAAAATATTGGTTTTCAGCTGCGCTACATCTTGGATGCTTGTCTTTCAGCTTTTTGAATAAAAGGTTTTGGTGGTGCGCTGACTTGTGCCAGTGCTTAGAATGACTGAAATGTAATTTTCTTATTCTTTATTGGGTCTTTCTAGACTAAATACAATACTGTTTTGTCTGAAACACAGACTTAGAGACATTTTACAGACAATATATGTAAAGTCTAATGAAACCTTTTATACTTAAAAAACAACATTTTTTATCAAATGGAGCAGTCCATAAACTAACAAGACATTGTCACTTAATGCAATACTTTATTAAATGAAATTACTGGACTAAGTAGACAGAATGTTTTGAGAGACTGGACACATGGTAAAGATTGCCTTCTTGTAGAGTCATTTTCCTTTCTTTGGTCTCATTTTTGCGTCGGTACTTTTAGATTCCAAGCAGAATGGTGACGCAGCCTCGGCCGCCTTAGCTAATGAGGACTGCCCCACCATCGACCAGGTGCTGAGCCCCGACGAGCGGAGCCCTATTGGGCGAGGGCCTACTCGGGAACGCTACCAGCAGGACAGAGCCTGCTTCCTACTCAACACCAGGGAATTCCGTGCCACAGATGGGAATGTGCGGAAAGGTACGTTTCACACCGGGAGACGGATATGTAAACATGCATATCTTATGTAAGCAGCCCCAGCAAGATGCCAGGCACAATATGCTGCGGGTTTAAATCCAGTATGTGTCCAGTGGGCAGCCATTGCAGTTGAAGCACTTGAAGAATACTGTATATTTTTTTAATTCACTCAGATGAGAGAGAGCAAATGTGAAACTCAGTTTGGAAAAATCCAATTATGCTTAGCAACAAGACACGCATAAAGAATGATCTGACTGCAACACATGCAGATACACCTAGGTCTTCTTCTCTGCTCTCTTTGTGTCTACCTCTTCACATTCATGTTGTCTGTGTTGTCATCATTGCTTGGTCTCATCTTTGATTTCCTCTATCACCAGATATGTCCTGCCTACTTTTCTCTGTTGCCTCTTCCTCTTTACATGGCCTCAGTCACGTCCTCCATCTTTCCATGTTGTCTTTGCATTTCATTCTCTGTCACATGATGTCATGTCCATTTGTATTAAAAAACGATCTGTCTTTCTCTGTCTTCTGGACTCAGACAGTTGACCATGCATTAATTCACTTCTCGTCGCTTCTTTTTCTCCCTGTCTGATTGTCTCTCCCCCTTGCCTTGCATCATCCTTGTTATTTTTGACCTACCTACTCCCCAACCTAACCTAACCCATCCTTTTCCTCTTTAATATCTTTAAATTTCTCCTCTTGATTGCCCTTTCCTGTGCCTTAACCCCCATCCTCAATACCCCCCCCTCCTTTGTGCAATGCTTTTTTCTCCCCCCATTTTTTGCCACATGTGCATTATCCTCATGCTCATGAAAACCTAACACCTTAATCCATTTACTATTGCTATCCAACTACCACCTCCACCAACCTGCACCAAAACACTCCTTCACACTCCCTCTAAACTGTCAACGCCCCCTGTTGACAACAAACTACTGTAGAGGCAGCAGCCCTGGCACCCAGCCCAGACTCCCCTCTGACTGAGGATTGGTATAAGATGGAGGGGTCTCTGCTACAGCAGGACCTCAATGCAAACTCCACCTCCTCCTGGATCAAACCATAGCCCAGAGGTAACACTGGAAATAGTACAAATGAATACAAATGATTAAATTGAGGGAACCCATAGGCTAGTCAACATTTGACTGGAAACATCCAGAGGTTTTGATCTAGCTCTCCACGACATGGCATGTTTTGCAAAAGTGCAAAGTGTGCCGCAATAGTCTAACACTCATTTTAACACAGATGAAGCTGCACATTGTTTGTATGTCCTCATGTTACATATGCACAAATATTTCCATACTTTTAATATGGTAATCTGATCTTGAAATGATGAAAAATTTGTTTGTTTTAAGTGTTCTAATGAGAGTTTGATGCAAGCAGTTTAGCTAAGGCTCCATAGTGTTAAGATGCCAATATCAGTTTTTTTAGGGATCATCATCTGGTATATGAGTCATATTGTCCAATGAAACCTAACCTCAGCTCTGTGTTCTGTTGCATAATTTGTTTGATCACAATTTATGGGTGCTGCTATATGAACACTGTACAGTTGTTTTAGGAAAAGAAATGGAAAGCAAATGGTATGTTTAGAGTGCACAGATGTGTATACCTGTATGTTTTTGTCTGTGCGAGGTCTTAACACCTGCATACAGTCATGGGTGCGGGACGACATCCGTGTGGGTATGCTAGAACATATCTAGCAGCTCAAGTGAAAATAAGCCAGATGTTGTGTCCTGTGTGAGTAAATAATAAAACATACTCTGAAGAAGAATGAGCGGGAACAGCGGATCATGTTGTTGTCTCATGTGCCTCTGTGTTGTTGTTGTCTCTCTCTTCAGGTTGTGTCATATCACGCGTGTGTATGTGGGCTTTTTCATTCTTACATGTTTATACACTGTGTCTCTGTCCTCTCAATGCCGTCTGAGTGTTGTGTTTGTGTTGTTGTGTGTGGCTTAATTTTGGTTTTCCCCTTAACTGTGTGTATTCATATGTATTCCCGACTCCACAAACCCGCAGCTTGGTAAACAAATACACTCACTGCAATCTAAAAGTGAACTGCCTCAAAAGTACCTGTTGACACTGAAAAGCATTTGCAGTGGCCTTTATTCCGAATTCTGTCCAAAACACACTTCTGTTTTTCAAGTGTGCTGAATTTTCTAATGAGATTAATTGGCCATCTTTGATCTCATGGAGTGCAGTGATGTGCATGATTTTCCTAAGGCCTAAGGTTACGGAGGGTGAAATCATCCATGTCGAGGAATAGTACCTTTGAAACACAGCACGCTTAAAATAAGGAAATCTATTGTGTTTTCATCCAAAGTCTACCAACAGAAAAAAATGCATTGACTTGTAAAATGGATGCAACAATGTGGGGCTTATTTACAAAAATGTGCAATGAGCGTGTAATGGATCAGATATACTATTCCTTTGACTATAAAACTGTGCTTTCAGTGCCTAGTGTAGTGCAAAGCTCTGGACATTTCCTAATTGTTCAGTGGAGACCTGGATAGAAATAAAAAGGAATATGAGCTGCACTCGGCGACTGAAGGACTTACACACTTACTGACCTACTGACTTGGCAGACAAATGTGGTGACAGATTTGACTGAAAAGTGGCATCATACACTCGAAGGTAAGCAAGCCCTGAGCTGTCCAAGCCTTTCACATAGAGGTCGCTGACATTGCAACAGTTTGAAATGGTTATTCTGTATAAACTGCAATTTAAGTGCCACAAAAATCCCCCTTTAAAGCAAATCAGGAGAGCAGTGAGGAAAATAATTGCTAGAGTCATTAGGATGCTACTTTAGGCAACTTACAGGCAAATTGTACACTTTAATTTGTACCTTTAGGTTGGCAATCTAAAATGGTCCTTGTCTTTTTAGTTTGTTGAATTGAATTGTTCTTTGCTGAAGAAGATTCCACTTGGGGCTTACTGTAAGCACCCGAGAAATTTGATCTGTTTCTTGCTTTCTTTGAGATCTCGTTTTCTCAGTATTAGATAACAAGGTCATATACATACAGCCACTTGAAAGACAAGTGACCTATCCAGGAATAGCAAAAATAGAATGATGACCACATATATATGGATTTATGGTCGTTAGAAATCCCATAATTACCAGCCTATGACATCCAAGATTTAAGAGACTATGCCGTAATTACCGAGGATGAACAATCAAACTGAAAAACTAAAACTAAAACTAGTTTCCAGTCCTGTCATCTGCTGAAATTACACGTTCTCCTTGATGTTTTTAAAGAGGGATTCTTATGCCTTTCAAGATTCCTTCTTGTGTGCTTTTTCTGTGATTTCTTTGGTAGATCTATGCGCAAAATGTCTTTGCCATCTTATTTTCTTAGCTTCTCAGTGTCCTCCTTTTAATTGTTGGCCATTTGACTTATATGCACCCAGTGCTAAATGCATGGCTCCCAAAGGTCAAACGGTCAATTACCTTTTTGACTGCACGGTCAAGTCACTTCTTCAGACCTCTGTCAAGGACCTCGTTCATATTAAATTCAGGCTCTACTTCTTTGTCACTCTCTACGTTTCTCCCTTTACTAACTGTATATGTAAAAGTTATATTTTATTCTGCTTAGTTTTTTTTGTACTTTTTGTTGGTGTTGTTTCTTATATTGTCTGTGTATATATTTTAAGTATTTCTTTTGAGTGTTATTCAGTGATTTTATTTACTGTATGTGTTATTGTATGTGTTGTAGTGTGAATGCTTTATTGTTTCAGCCTGTGTAGGACTAAGTTATATTTAATTTCACTTACTAAATTTTGCTGTTGTTTGTGGTGGTCTATTTCTTCTTAAGGTTTTTGAGCTTTGCATAGCTGTGTTTTGTTGTTTTGTGCTTTGACTTCCCCTGTGTTCTTCCTGTGTTCTCCTGTTGTTTTATCCTACCTCAGTTGACTACTATTTTTTAATTGGAACAATACAGAAAACTGCCAGCAAAACAGTAAAAATAATTAATAACAGTGGTGCAAATCTAACATGGAAAGAATATAATTTCAGAACATATTCAAACAAAAATTAGTTTAATGTATTTTTTCATAGAATAGGAGTAAAGAATGCTTTACCTGTCAACTCTCATCGCACATAAAGTGGTGCCTGTTTAAACAAACAAACAAACACAAAATGTTGTACATCCACATTTCATCCACCCGTGTAGTTTGGTATTAATAATTTAGGAGTTACAATTGACAAAAATACTTTTCAAGGCTCGTCCTTTATGATACAATGTATCTGTTGTTTTTACTTGTGCTCTAGCTCAAGTTATGAACAGCGTTTACAAGCTTTTTTGGTTAAAAAAAGCTAACGTTAAATGTGTCTTATGTGGTACAGCTTGTGTCCACTGTTCTCTTGTAGCTCTCCACAAAATATAAGACTTCTACATTGCGTTGCATGTTCTTGTGTGTGTCTCGTGCCAGTTCTCAACACTGAAATACGCAAATATTCAATCCAAGCCAGATTTTTATCCTGTATAAAAAGAAAGAGTCCCAAATCAAATCAGTTATATATATATATGCACACACATATAATATATAACTACGTATATAACTAAGACAAGTTATGAAATATTCAGTGAAATTGAGCTTTAATTATACAAGCGGATGCATTCTCTACAGGTCTCTATGACCCACATACTGCTACCCAGAAGAAAAAGGACTCAGTTGTATGTCATCTGATTTCTCCGGAAAACATGTCATGTATATGCACACTGTGTTCTTGATGATGTAATGATTAGAGAAGATCAGTATATCTAATCCTGGGTAATAAGACATCAACCTGTCAATAGGCAATTGATTCTGTGTAAGAATGAAACAGTACGTGACTATTGTATCTGAACAGCCAGCAATGTCTGGGAATCCATGGAAAACACACTGTAGTAAAATGTCAGGAGAAATTTGAAGGACCTTATCAAGATAGACGTGTAGTTTCTGCTTTTCTACATGCATACAGCACATGTAAGGGCACTTATTTTGGTTGTTTTGACTCAATCTGGAGATAAGCATTTTCTCGGTAAATAGTCTGGCCGCGATATTTGCAGTTCCTTCTCTCTTTCTCTGTCTTCCCTCTACATAACCTTATTCTTCTGTGATTAACACTCATTTTCCATCCCATTCCCAGGCCGCCACTGCAGTGCAAGTGTAACTAAAGTCTGACTCTAGGTAGGTACAAGCTTCCTCCATAGTGTAAATTAAGTCTTACTCTGAGCAGAAATGATGTCATCCGTGAATAAAATGACAGCCATATTCCCCATTCTCCCTGAGAGGAGAATCCCATGGCACTAAACCCCTGTTGATGTTGTTGTAAATACATATGATAACCAAGAATGGAGGAGAGCAGACTGTGACAACCTGCAGTGGCTGAGACATGCTCAACTTTATGAGCATTTTTATGGCCGTTTCTGTAAACTCTCATATTGTTTTTTTTATGATTTTGTAAATGAATACTTTTATACCTCATCAGAGACATTACTAATTACAGTAGTCCCTCGCCATTTCGCGTTTCCCTTTTTGGGGTCTCACCGTACTGTGGATTTTCAATATGTATAGATCAAATTTTGATTTGCGGATTTTTCAATATATCCTGGGATTTTGCGGTGTATAGGTATTTTGAAGTTTCTTTTTTAATTAAAATGGAAAAAAACTCTAAAGAATAATAATTGTAACATAAAAAATCATATAAAATCAATATAAAATAAGCAGCATACAGCAGATTAGATGACAAAGACTTGAGAAAACGCAGCTACTTGAGCTAATTTGCCCATGAGAGGCTGTACACAGCACACTATTGGCTGATGGATGGGAGGTGACCAACCAGGTGCTGGGAGGGTTTATGAAAAAATAATATAAGATTGCGACTTAGTGGATATAGGCGGTGGGTGGTGGGTGGTTAGCACCGTCGTTTGAGTCCCCGGGGGAACCAGGACCTTCCTGTGTGGAGTTTGCATGTTCTCCCTGTGTCTGTGTGGGTTCTCCGGCTTCCTCCCACAGTCCAAAAATCCTGCATGTTAGGTTGATTGGACATTCCAAACTGCCCTTAGGAGTGATTGGCATGGTTGTTTG